TCTAATTCTTTAGTTTCATTTGGGGCAAACCAGTAAGTAAGTATTGTTTTCCCATAGACATTCTGGAAAACCAAAAAAAACCCATAATATTAAAAGTTTGAAAGCTTGCTCGGGGCTAATGAGCTATGTGGTGACTAATGACCACAAGACCTATAATTTTATGTAAAATCTGCTTCTGAAACTTTATAAACTGGAAACTTATTATAACATTTCACAGAACTGTTTCTATCTTTGATCTATCTAAAGGGTGCGCTCATGAAATGAACTCGCATTGAGCTTTCTGTGTAAGATATAAGTCAGCATTATTTCTTGTTATTTTGTTAGTTATAAAAATGTGTAATAATCTTTGAACAATGCCTTAACAGCTTGGAAAGGTCAGAGAGAGGCTGCAGAGTTCAGATTCACATGAGTTCAAGTGCGTGTGGTGTGATGGTGATAAATGGATAAATATTGTGTTTAGAGGCAGAGCGCAGCTGTTGGCCTGCTTTAGATGAAAACCACTGGACTAGAACAGAGCTGTGTCCCTGCCCTGGATCACTGTACTGGACAGAACAAGAGACACTATACAGCAAGACAGAGTGTACTAAAGCTCATATGAAAACACAACAACATATATTTTTACTTTAATGTATTATGGTACCTATAGTGTTGCCACAATACGAGAATTTCAAACTTGATTTCAATATTAAAGAATCGACTCAATACTCGATACAGATTTTGATATCCAAATGATTATTTTAAAGGTGCACTGTGGAGGGTCAGACATCTGTTTGTCTTGATCAAGATCTTCCACAATAAAACTTAGCTATCTCCATAAAAACAAATATATGACAACACCTCGATAAGTTACACGTCATATCTGTGCAGAGGCAAGATCACTCACAGCACATTCTTTTCAAGCTATTTCTGGGCAATAAAAAAAAACTGTACTGTATTTTCCGCACTATAGGGCACACTCATAAGCCTCCAACCCCATCAAAAAACAACTGCGCGCTCCACAGTCCAGAGCGCCCTATACACGAATCCACTCGTGTGTCCCAGCACGACTTCAGTAAACTACAATGTCGCACCACCCGCAGCGCACACAAACGCGCACCGAGCAAACAGCAACCGCGCGGCGAAAAACACCCACAGCCACACTCATCACTCCACGAGGACGAGGAACGGAACGGAGGAATGAACCGAAAAAGCGAGTGCAATGGGCCACTTCTAGACACAATTGAACAACTGAGTCACTGCGAACACGCCGACAATCCAGCGGTCCCAGACAGCACCCTCCCTACACGCCACAACTGAACAAAGCCCAGAGTCACCGTCAATGCACCAAAGTCCCACTGACCCATCTAACTGTTGTGTTTCGTTTAATGCGCCTTATAGTCCGGTGCGGTTTATATGTGAAAAAAGTTCGAAAATAGACCATTCAATGACAATGCGCCATATAATCCAGAGAGCCCTATAGTGCGGAACATACGGTAATTGTATCAGTGCAACAAATTAATTACTTTATTAATACTACACTGTGGAATTCTGAGCAAAAGATTTTCATCAGAAAAGTAGGTGGTGGACCCTTAACCAGAAAAGTTACACATTGCAACTTTAAAAGCTCTTTTTTAGGCAATATTGTAATTTTCACAAAACAAAATAATGGTCTGACAAAACTGAAGATGAAACTGTTCAGGAACGGTCCAATTTAATACAGTTATGTGATTTTTTTAGTATTGATACCTCCTCAAATGAGTATCTAGATTCTTCTTGATTCTTGATACTCTTGATAACCCTATATCACTTTATTTTTCCATATGTTATACGAAACCATAGTCATAGCCTTTTATTGTATGTAACAGTTTTGTAGTCTAATACTTGTTACTCCATTTGTACAGTGTTGAGATAGATTTAAATTTTTTGGAGTATTTTAATAGATGTTTTATGTTCATTTTGATTGCAAATTCTTATTTATGTTGCAACATTGTATTTCCCCTATTATAGTGACAAATCTCACGTCCCAAAAATATTCCTTGTGGATTCATAAACTAAAGTCTTCTGTAAAACTTTGGTGAGACAAAGTTGGTCGATTCATAATTAGTTACCAGTCCCCAAAATCCAAACCACAATTTCTGATCTTTTCAAAATTTCACTTTCATTAATATGTGGAAATTGGTAACAGACCCAAACATAACCTCTGGCCAGTCACTCTTCTGACTTTTCATTTGCAAATCTGATGAGAGTGACAGCGCTTTGATGATCTGAAGTTTCAAATATAATTAACAATTTCAAAAAGAAAACGTGAGATTTTTCTTGGGTGAATTTGACTCTCCTGGGGTAAGCTCAATTGGACTTTTTTTGGAGCTGTAGTTTTTTACAGTTTTAATCCAATTTTATTTTATTTTATTTATTCATTTTTTAAATTGATTCAATATTTTACCAGGTAAGTCAACTGAGAACACCTTCTCCCTTGCAATGACGACCTGGACAAGATGGAGTATAAAACAGCACAAACAGAACACACTCACACATCAACCATAACATGAAGCAGTGAACAGAGACGTGAGACCGTGAAACATCTGCAGATTAAAGATATAAAAGTGTTAAACGCATGTGCAATGATCCTGTAAAATACTCTGGGTGGAGTTTTTAAATGTACCTATTAGAGCCGGGTATTAATAAGTTCCCGATACGATCCATACCTCGATACACTGCACTTTCAATGCGATACATTTCAAATTGATTCGATACTGTTCAATAAAAAATAAAGGCTAAATCATGGCTGTGATACTAAAAGTCTTTGTTAAACCATTTCTTCTGCAAAGTTAATCTGAAACACAAACATTTTAATCACCAAAACAGTGAAAATGTCAAATGTGTCACATATATGAGTTTCCTTCCACTGAACAAGCAACAAAACTGTAGCTCTGTAACAAAATAATTTTGTAAAATATTCCAAAAAATACTCTTGGCCATATATATCGATACAGCAGCCCACGATATCGATACTGTATCATCACATTAAACGATACAATAAATCGATATTTCAATATTTTTGCACACCCCTAGAATCTATATTTTTATGGATCTTACCAAAATGATTAGAGGTTAGAAGCAGACTGTTTGACACTGCCACCATTCATACAACACTTCAAAAACTCAAAGGCTTTTCTCCGTGGAGATGTTATTTCTTTGTCTGAAATGTTTCACAGTATGGCATTAAACCTTTCTATCATCACAGAGACCAAACCAGACCAAGTTACAGGTCAGATCTGCGAAGAAGCAACCCTGCTCACAGTTAGAATGCCTGTTTTTCTAGGTATTTTGAGCTATAAAACTAAATCTAATTGAACAAATGTAAGGTAGAGCTGTTTAATGTTATACTGTGGAACATTCCAGGCAGAGCAATGGCATATCCATAGAAACAAGAAGATGATGAACACACTCAATCAGCTGAAACTTCTAGAGGAATTCTGTAACTATTAGGGTAAGGGTAAACCATTTATTATTGTCAACATAGTAGAACTTTCTTTACTTAGAATGTTCAATAGATACTTTGCAGCTGCTGTCGTCAATATTCCCTGGGGTGTGATGAACTGTAGGCTCAGGTCTGTTTGAAGACTTTAAGCTGAACTTCAGTCTGACCAGAATTACAAAAAGGTGAGCTGATATGTGCTGTTAAATAAGTTCCTCTCACATAAATTTAAAGTTTTTTTTGTTTTGTTTTGTTAAAACACCTAAACAGGACCATGAAAATGTGCTGTTTAAACCTATTCTGTATTTTTCCTGAGATTGTAGATTATTTTTTAAAACTATTTGACAGTATGTTTGCTAATATGCGCATTGTGTCTCCATGGTAACTGATGAACTTCCAACTTTGCAGTGACTGATGTTCTTAAAGGGACAGTCTGGAATTTTGGACATAGGGCCTCATTTCCTAGTGAGCCAGAGTGTTGGAGATGTGTGGAGACACTTTTTTAAATATTCCATCCAGTTCTTGTATTTGCAGAGGTCGCTGGTGCTAGGCCAGTGCATGTCAATGACCATAGTTGGCCTGGCACTAAAAACAGCACTCCACAAAGCAGCTGAAGCAAATCTATTATTACACCAGACTGTTGTAAATGTAAAGGTAAATGTCTGTGTCGATAGAATCATTTTAGAAGTAAAATCAACCTTGCATTTGAAGGATTTATGTCTGAGCAGCAGCAGTGAGTTGTACTTCCTGATAGAAAGCTTGGCAGCGGTGGACTGATATATCAGAAAATAGTCCCTCAACATGCGACGATTCATACAATGCAAGGTTAGTTTTATTTCAGACATTATTTTATCAACCCAGACATTCACATTGATAGTCTGGTGTAATAATAAATTTGCTTCGGGTGCTTTGTGGAGTGGGTAAGACGGTTTTTAATGGGAGTCTAACTATGGCCATTGACATGCACTAGCCTAACACCAGCGACCTCTCCAATACTGGATAGAATTTTTTAAAAAGTGTCTCCACACATCTCCAACACACTGGCGCACTAGGAAAAGAGGCCCTATGTCAAAAAATTCCAAACTGCTTCCTTTAAAAAAACAAAGCATTCTTACTCCTCACTTCTCCATAGATCTCTGTGGAGATTTAAAACTTTGGAATACTCCAGGTAAATCAATCACATCACCCTGGAGATGAACTGGTGGCTGACTCTCCACTACAAAAGTTACCTTAACTTTGTACCTTTATAACGAATTTCATCTCTGGGCGCAAAGAACCTGACTGCATTTTTATCTTGGTATTTTCCTTTATTTTGACTATTGTGTGCCACTTTTAAAAATTCACCTTCCAAATAACCTACTACTTTAGAAAAGAAAAAGACACGCTGTGCTAAGTTATTACCACACACTTACAAAACACATTTTCATTTGTGCTTCCATGTTGGGTGTTGAGCTGAAATCTGCACCCCATTGACAGTAAAGGATGAGCTGTTCCTTCAATGCCAACAGCTCATTCTGAGAGGGGGACAAGGTGCTGTACTCACACGGGATGGTCCGCAGGTACAAGTTGTCTCGGATCACTTGCTGGAGCTTGTGGTCCAAAGATCCCTTCTGGAACTGCAGGCTGAGGTAGTGTCGCAAATCCGTATTCAACACTTTACCTGCAAAAGAAAAGGCAGAAACTGGAATGAGAAAAGCAAATAGGCAAGAAATAAGTGTTAAAAATCAATTGGAGTCTGGGGGTGGTGAGAGGGATTGTTCTTCTAAGAGGGTGATGTAAAATTTGTGAAATGTATTAAAATGATGTAACTACAGGATTTGATCTACTGTAAAAGAAATTCTAATATTTTTCAGAAATGTGCGTATCTGTTATCTTTACATTGTTAAAAATCTGGTAAAAAGTCTGGGCTGATACATGTGTAAGGTAAAACAGAACCAATAAAGTTAAGATAAGGTCTATACCAAAACTAAAGCAGGTCTAAACCGGTCCAGGCTTGTGTAAACTGGGACTATACAAAGACTATACAAAGACTATTTGAGGACTATACGAGGACTCAACCCGGTGGACTCAACCCAGCGGACTCAACCAGGTCTCAACCAGGATTGAACCAGGACTCAGGACTCAACCAGCACTCAACCAGCACTCAATCAGAACTCAATCAGGACTCAATCAGGACTCAATCAGGACTCAATCAGGACTCAATCAGGACTCAATCAGGACTCAGCCAGAAGTCAACCAGAACTCTGACAGGACTCAGCCAAACCACACGACTAAACATGGATTATAGTCCGAATAGAATCAGGTCTAAACCAGGATAAAAACAAAAACAAACTAAGGGTGCTTTCCCACCGGCAGCAAACGTTCCATTCGAACCAAAAGCTCTTAGGTCAGTTCATTTTCGTTGGTGTGAAAGCATCAATGGCACTCGCATCCGTACGGATTTTAGTAGACCTCAAAAAAGAGATGGTCTCAGTCCGCTTGACTCCACACCAAATGCCAAACTCTGGTGCAGTCCCTCTGGTGTGAACGTGAACTCTGGTCCGAGCTAGGGATGGGCATGATTAGTCGATTAATCGATAATTGATTATTAAGAATTTCATCGATTACGTTAAATTTAATCGACAAACCGAATGTAGGTTGCTGTGTGTAGCGTGACCAAACAGGGGTCTGTACATGTAGCTTTCTGCACTCAGAAGGAGCGAGCAAACACAAACAGTCAGTCCGCCTGCAACGTACCAAAGTGCATATGCGTATTTAACGATGATTTGTACAAGAAATTCCATGCTTTCCGTTCCGGTCGGGACAAGTGTGAGTCCATGTGCACAGTGTACAAAGCAGCACATATGTTTGGGTGTCCAGTGGGAAAAAGCTTTGCCAGGTGAGAGTAGCGCCAGGTCGATGACGAGTTCCCACCTCCCGCCCCTCGTACGATGTCCTGGTTTTGACAAGCGCAAATATGGTCACACTAACCTGTATTCCACTGAGTCATGTCTTTTAATCCGACAGAAATTGACCGCATCAGCGACACCACACGACCTTGGCGATCGACTGGTAAATCGCCATCGACGTATTGAGCACCCCTGTTTTAAAGGAACGAGGCAATTAGCTGCCTGTTGCCACCCAGGACGAATATTAGATCACTCTGCCAGTCATTATATACTACACTGTAGTATAGTGTCCGTGCTGTAGTAAGTACAGCACGGACACTCGACAATGAGATAATGTTTGCAGGTAATAATTAATAAATTTTAATTAAAAAAAAGTGATATTGGATAATTTCTCACGGCACACCTGACGATCTCTCACGGCACACTAGTGTGCCGCGGCACAGTGGTTGAGAATCACTGGTTTAATGTATATCCCCATAGTCTCAAATACACTAAGCAATATATACAGGACTCAAGCAAGACTCAACCAAGACTCAACCACGTATGAAGAGAACTAAAAAAAGAAAGAAAATGTGCTGATTAAAAAGGCTTGAACCCGATTTTCATTCCATGTATTTGAGAACAATGTGTCTTGTCCCAGTCGAAATATACTGAATAAGCAGCTCTCGAGGAAATGACTCCTCTGTGTACGGTCTGCATCTCATTATAACGCGCTTTATTGTCCAATAATGAGAAAGTGTTGCTAACTTTACAGTCACGCTGAACTCCGCTCTGGTCTCGGAGTTGTGAAAAACACTTAAAAACTCATTGAGGTGAATAATTAGAATGCCCTGAATACATAAGGTAAAGACTTCAGACAGGATAAAACCACACTTTAACCAGTTCAGCTCTGCGTTGTTTCAAATATCTTTACCTTCCTATTCTATATTACTATAATAAGTGGAAGTTCTTGGAGGAGGAGTCGTATAGGTGCTGTGGATAAGTGGCCAGTGTAACAGCTTGACAGAACTAATTAAACATGAGCACTGGGGTTGTTAATTCACTGGAGGCACGAGATATGAGGGACGAGAGCACACTGTCAGTCTCAAGTCAAGACAGAAAGATGGAAAGGAAGGAGGGAGGGAGAGAGGGAATGAGAAAGAGAATGAGGAAAAGAGAAGATGTGAGGAGAGAGAGAAAGAGGGAGATGTGAAGAGAGAGAAAAAAAATGTAAGGAGAGAGAGAAAGGGAAGGAGATGTAAGGAGACAGAAAGAGGGAGATGTGAGGAGAGAGAAAAAAATTTAAGGAGAGAGAGAGAGAGGGAAGGAGATGTAAGGAGAGAGAAAGAGGGAGATGTGAGGAGAGGGAGAAAGAGGGAGATGCGAGGAGAGAAAAAGAGAGGGATGTGAGGAGAGAGAGAGAAGGAAATGTAAGGAGAGAGAGAAAGGGAAGGAGATGTGAGGAGAGAGAGAAAGGGAAGGAGATGTGAGGAGAGAGAGAGAAGGAAATGTAAGGAGAGAGAGAAATGGAAGGAGACGTGAGGAGAGAGAAAGAGGGAAATGTGAGGAGAGAGAAAGAGGGAGATGTGAGGAGAGAGAAAGAGGGAGATGCGAGGAGAGAAAAAGAGGGAGATGTGAGGAGAGAGAGAGAGAAGGAAATGCGAGGAGAGAAAAAGAGGGAGAAATGAGGAGAGAGAAAGAAGGAAATGTGAGGAGAGAGAAAGAGGGAAATGTGAGGAGAAAGAGAAAGGGGGAGATTTAAGGAGAGAAAAAGAGGGTGATGTAAGGAGAGAGAGAGAGAAGGAGACGTGAGGAGAGAGAAAGAAGGATATGAGAGGAGAGAGAGAAAGAGAGAAATGTGAGGAGAGAGAAAGAGGGATGTGCACAGACAGACAGCGAAAGAGGGATATGCGAGGAAAGAAAGAGAGAGGAAGAGGGAGACGCGAGGAGAGAGAGAGTAAGTGAGAATAGCACCTCTCCCCAGACATGTTCAGAAGCCTCCTGCTGACGCCAAAGACTGAAAAGAGCTTTAGAAGTTTAAAAGAATGTAACAAAGTCGAGTCAAGACAGAACAATGCCGTTTACATTATCTCTAGACAACGCGGGGGTACAGAATATATGTTTTAGGACTGCGATTCTTATAACATTATTTTACACACAATAGCCGGAAAAGGAAACTTATTTAACCACGGGATTCCTCAGCCTCCACAAAAATTTTACTGCTATTGTGTCCTTGAGCAAACTCTATTACAACTGATCCAAGATAGGCTGGAGGTGCTGGAGTTTAGTTTTTAGTTTTATTCAGATCAGAGAGAGTCCTTTTTGGTTTACACCGACTGGATTTTAGCACTGAAACTGGCAACTCAAATATTATCTCATTCTGCTTTCTGGTGTTTTCTGCTGTTTTTTTTTATTCCCAAATTGTTCAACCACAATTAACCACTCGTAATTGAATGAAAAGTCAACATGAGAAAATCCATCGTAAACTAACACACGCGTTTCGACTGTCAACATAAGCCTTATTAACTATTGTCTACGGCCGTGTACCAGTCTAATCTCCTCTCATTTGAGCACGGCACTATCAACATCACAACTTCTCCAGCTGCACCCACACCTGTTTTAAGCACTTCAGATTCTCTTCACATCTGCTCCCAAACAAATCAATACCAGCGCGGAATTTCACTGGGAAAATCACAAACAAATCTGAGCCAAGCTTGGAGCCATTCCTTATACAGACTTTGTGTTAAAGTTGCATTGTGCAGAGTCCGACACCTGCTCCTCTACGTGATGAATGTGTTATTGCTTTGCCTTTTCTACTTTTTCTATTTCCGTGGAGACGAACCAGCAGTGCCACCAAGCCGATTCTGGATTAGAGCTGTGGAAAGGCAAGCCCACTCTCAAGTAAGAATGTATGTTTTTCAGTGCACACGTTATTGAATAAATGTTTGGTTCATATGTTTAATGCCATTCTTTGGAACATTAGAGGCAACCCTAAACAAGGCAAAGTAACATGCAGTAGTGTTATCTAAACCAGAAAAGTTGCATGGGAGGTTGGCATGTTTTTTATGACTATGATTAGCAAGGCTGGCACCACCTAGTGCACAGGCGTCAAACATACGGCCCGGGGGCCAGATCCGGCCATCCAAGACCTTTAATCTGGCCCTCGACTGATTTTCTACTAAAATATTGTAATTATATTTTCTATTAAAATATTATTAATTTTCTGTGGTGTTTATCACAGCAGCATCTCCAGCACCTCTGTACGTGGCCCCTCCCACCAGAGCAGCACAAATGAAGACTTGTCTCTTTCCAAACGCTCTTAAAGGACGATCGTTTTGACTGTTGACCGTGACACCCTCATCAGCAAAATGTCCAACATGAGAAAAGTGGAGCCGAGTGCAGGATTTTACAAGAAAAATTGACTTATTCCTATTTACAGACAAGTTCATGTTAAAACATTGTGTTGAAATTGCATTTTTCTTAAAGTTTCAGGTTGTTCATAATATTATAATATTTTGTAAAGTAAAGTAAGAAGTAATGTTAGCTGAGTATTGACAATGATCAATTATATATAAAGAAGGTCAAAATCCTATGACTATACTAATCTGAGAATGTTTGGTGAATTTTATCAAGGGGAAAGACGTTATTGCCCTTCTTCTTACAAGATTTGGGAAAAGCTTAATATACCAGTTAGCCCCATAAGCAGCACATTACATATGTCACGACCAAATAGCAGTGGTTGGTAAAATTTTTTAAAAGTGCTCGCCTACTGTCTAGCGAACGAATCCTAATG